CCCCGGGCAGCTCAGTCCCCCACTGGAGGTTCAGGGATGAAGCCTGGAAAGCTGATCAGTGAGTGGGTCTGGGCAGAGACGCGGCCCTTCAATACTACTGTCCTCGCTTTTTTGAGAGTTCTCGCGACCGCGCGCCACGCGGGCTCGGGTGGGTGTGTCACCGGCCCTGCTCCGCTCTGCGGCCAAGCGCGGCCGCAGCTCATTGGCCCGTCGCGGACAGAGGCCAGGCCCCGAGCCAATGGGAGGGAAGACGGCGGAGGCTGCTTCCGGCCGGGCCGCAGTCCCGGGGGTGAGGGAGACGGGTGGCGGGGTGCTCCCCGCGGGGCGGCTGCTCGCCCCCTAAGTCGGCTCATTAGGGGTCTCCCCTAAGCGCTTCTAACCCGGGCTGCGCGGGGCGGGACCCACGCCCGCCGGAGCTCCGTCCACTCTGCACCCGAGGCCGCAGTGGCACCGCGTAGACCACGGACCCTGGGCTGGACAGGCAGCTAGGTGAGCACCGCCCTGTGGCGCCCGCCCCGGGTGATGACGCCACCGACCTCGCCGTCGATTGGCCCGGGCGCGGGTGCGGCAGCCAATGGGCGCCTCGCCCCGGGTGCGCGCCCTCCCACCTCTTTCCGAGTGGCGCTCGCCCGTGGTGATGACGCTACCGACCTCGCCGGTGATTGGCCCGGGCGCGGCTGAGGCAGCCAATGGGCGCATGGCCTCGAGTGCGCGCCCTCCCACCTATTTCCGGGCGGCGCTCGCCCTTTGTGATGACGCCACCGACCTCGCCGGCGATGGGCTCGGGCGCGGCTGAGGCAGCCAATGGGCGCCTCGCCCGGGAGCGCGCCCTCCCACCTCTTTCCGGGCGTCTCTCGCCCGTGGTGATGACGCCACGGACCTCGCCGGCGATTGGCCCGGGCACGGCTGCGGCAGCCAATGGACGCCTCCCTCCGGGCGCGCGCCCTCCCACCTCCCCTGGCGGCGCTCAGCTGGTTCCCCGGCGGGGGGCTATTTCCTGGGCGCCGCCTGCGCCCCCTCTTTTCCATCCCCCTTACTGCCCATCGGAACCTGCTGCCTGGGAATGCGGGGGACACAGGGTCACGATCAAAGTCCGAGGCCTCCTGAGTCGGGATGGACCTGGATGGGATCGGGCCCGGCCCGAGTCTCGGAGCTTTGGCCTCAGGAGAGGCCCAGGGCCCGACTTGAGAGGCTTGAAAAATGCCCCTGAGCCCGGCCGGTGTGGCCCAGCGGTCGAGCGTCGACCTAGGATCCAGGCCATCGGGGTTGGATTCTCGGCCAGGGCACAGGCCCGGGTGCAGGCTCCTCGATCCCCAGCAGGGGGCGCGCAGGAGGCAGCCGATCCATGACTCTCATCATGGATGTTTCTCTCTCTCCCTCTCCTTCCCTCTTTCTGAAATCAATAAAAACATATAAAAAATAAAAAATAAAATTAAAAAAGCCCGTGAAATTCTGAGCAAGCTGAACGTGCCGCGCTGAGATTAGGGGGGTCGCGGTTGTGACCACGGGACAGCCCCTGTCTCCCCACTGATGCGTGAGCTCCTGGGGGGCCAGCCGTCCCCCTCCGCTCAGGGAACAGCATCAGTAAGCGCGAGTGGGACGAGGCAGTGACTGGAGGGGTCCGGTTGACACTGTGCTTATGTCGGTCCCCGGAACCCCACGCGTGCCCGCGGCGGTCATTGTTACCGACTCGAGTGCTGGGTGGAACAGGCCAGTGCCCTGCGCTCCTGATGGTAGCGGCGGCCCTGGCGCCCTTTATTTGCATCTGTTCCAAACAGCCCCACCCGAGAGGTGCACGCACCCCGCTCCCCTCCCTGCGCCTCCGTAAAACTGAGGAGATGGGACTGAGCCTAGAGGCCGAAGGGACTGGCCGAGGACACGAGGCCCTGCCAGCTGCAGGAGCAAGCACGTGCCCCCAGGCGCTGGCTGCAGCCCGTGACTGCCCCCCGGTGGCCGTGCAGCTTTGCACCGGGGGGAGGAGCACTGTGCACGGAGCGGGCGGGACTGGCGTTCAGTCCTCTGCCCCTCACGGTCCTAAGCTGAGCGACTGGGCACTTTCTCCGTCCCCGTCTTACAGGGCAGGCGGCTGGAGTGTCGGGCAAGGGGCCTCCTGCGAGGATCTCGGGTGCCAGTCCTGGTGGCGGCCACGAGAGGGCGCTGCCGGGCCATGGCCGAGGAGCGCCCCGGGACTTGGTTCGGCTTCGGTTTCT